GGAACGGATCCGTAGAACAGCCGCCCCTACCTCCGAATCCCGGACGGGCGGAACATTGTCCTCCCCGTGCTCCCCGTCGTCTCCGGCCAGGGAGGCCATCGACGGGGGAGTGTGTTCCGCTCGTTGTGGGAAAAGGCCCTCAACCACTTCTCGCAGGAAGCTGGGCTGGAGAGTCTCCGTAAGGGGGGGGCCCGACGCGCGGAGCTTTTGTCGCACCGCGCGGTAAGGGCGACCCCAGGGGTCACGATTAAGACCCTCCAGCATCTCCTGTCTCTTTTCCTCTTTGGCGCGGCTAATGGCCAGCTTCAGAGTTTTCCGCGCCCGTCGGTACTCCTCATGAAGCCGGTCCTCCTCACCGTCTCCACGGTGACGCCGCCGACTGCTTGTGTAGGACCTCCGGGCACGTGTACAGGCCGCACGGAGGTCCGCCAGCTCCTGGGACCACCAGTAGACCTCCTTCCTTGGAGGCCGACGACCTCGAATGCGGGGCATGGCCGCATCGCAGATGTGCGTAATCGCATCGCGAAAGCGACCAGCCCCCACGTCAACCTCCTCGGTCGGAGCCTGCGGAGACAGCCACGAGTGAATTATGGCTGCCTCCTCTAGTAGGTCCCGGTTCAGTCTGGCAACAGCCCAACGCGGAAAGCGGGATAAACGCCGCGCCACGTGACCCCTACTGGAGTCCTGGGTCCGGGAGAACTCAAATCGGATATACAGGTGATCCGAGAGCGTCTCAACCTCTTCCAGGACACGCCAGTTCCTTACTCGTGCGGCGAGGGCAGGGGTAGCGAACGAGAGGTCCACTATCGACCCCCCCTGCTGTCGCACGCACGTGTTGGTGGAGCCTCTGTTGAGAAGACAGAGGCCCACCGAGGCCGCCCACTCCTCTACGGCCTCGCCCCTTGCGTCCGTCCTGGGGGAACCCCACGCAATGGACTTTGCGTTGAAGTCCCCCAGCACAAGGGCGTGCCCAGACGCTAGTCGCCGTATCGAGGTCTCCAAGCTGGTTAGGAAAACCTCGAAGTCGTTCAAACTCCGGTTGGGGGAGAAATAGACACCATATATGGTGATCCCCCCCCACTCGACGGCAACATATCCAGTGCCCTTGTCTCTTAGCGACAAGGGCGGGGAATGAGCCGTCGTGGAACCGACGACTGCCACGGAGCCGTCCCAGTCACCCATCCAGTTTGGACGGGGAGGGACAGAATAGGGCTCCGCGACTACGGCAACACCTATCGACCACTGTGCCATGGTTTGCAGGAAGAGATCCTGAGCCGCGGCACAGTGGTTCAGGTTCGTCTGGACCAGGAGGTTGGAGACTTGATCCATTACTGGATCGTCTCTACAACCTCCTCCATGGGCGACGACGACGACGCACGTACTACATCGGAGGCAGCCTGGGTCGACTGGCTAGCCCCTGACGTCTGCCGAGAACTGCGGGGAGGCTTGCAGCCTCTCTGCCCCATCTGGTGATTGGCGGGCTTATTGCCCGCCGCACACGCTGGGCAGTGAGGGGCGGCAGAGCATTCTGCCGCCTTATTAGCAGCGGAAACACAGTCCGCCGCAGTCAAAACAACTGTCGCAATTGACGCGCGTGTGTCCCGTGGCCAGGCATTTAAAACACCTCATCGGTCTCGCCGCCAGGACTGTGATCCTGGCGCTCACGAAACCGACGAGCAGCCTGCCGGCATCGGCCAATACTTTGGCCAACGCTACGGGACAGCTGACCCACACGGCGCCAAGCCCTCCTGGACCGGGGCGGATGGTGCCGACCCTGACGTTGTCCGCGCTGCACCCCGTCTTCTCCCGGATTACAGCGCGGACATCTTCGGCCGTCACTGAGTCGTCCAGGCCCGAGATGCGCAGTTCCGCGCACTTGGTAGGCCTGGCGACCCTGACACCATCTGTGGCCGCAAATATTCCCCGCAGCCTTTCAGCGAAGGAGTCCGCCGTCTTTGCGCCTTCAGCCCCAGGGAGCTCGAGGACTCGAGCTCCCGTCTGGGCGAGGCGCATCCTGACCCCCACCGTCCCAAACTCGTTGGCGAGGCTGTCCCGGGCCTTTTTGAAGACGGCCGCATAGGACAGCCCGCCGTCAGCCGCCTCCGGGGACACGGTCACAACTACAGCCGCGGTTTTGGGCGGCTGCAGCTTCCGCGGCCTCTTTGCAGAGGCCGTTGCCACCGGTGGCGAAGGCTGGGCTTGGGCTGCTTTTTTGGCAGCCCTTTTGGCCCGCCTTCGGGAAACCCTATACCAACCCATCTGGCCAGCGTGGTAAAGTAGGCCAAAACCTCCTGCTTAAGGAGAGACCTATGTCCAGCAGTATGCTATTAAAGGCTGTAAATGTTATGTAAAAAAAAATAGTTTGTTAAGGTGGCCTTTGGTATGTAGAGATCCCTAGAACATTTATAGCTATCATAATTAGTAGATAATAGAACATCATTTGCATTGTAATTGATTTATTATCTACCGTATATAATTAGGGTAAATGTAACATCCAATTATTCAAGTTTGCTAAAAACAATATATTGAGAATAAATTGCTTTGTGTTAATTTAGTATAGTTATAGCATTGAAGAAGTTTAAAATGTCTGTATCTACGGGGAATTGTGGCCGCTACTATATAGATAGTATTTAAAGTTTTTTTTTTCTTCATTAGCCTTATCTGGATCAAAAAAAGCCTTATCTGGATCTAAGATGGCACAAAACAGATTCTTGTTTTTTTTGCTAAAGAAATCTAGTGAAGCACCATACGGAGATGAAGCCCTTTTCTTGCGATTTATGCAGGTGCTTCAGAAAGTGCTTGCACTTGGTCGCTGGTATAGAATTGTTTCACTGTGATCATTGTGAATGCACCTAGGGGGCAGTGTAACATATTCACTAGCAATTTGCCACGCTTAAGAGACGCTGCATCGGAGACTCGCTACGGTCATCGAAGAGGATCCCTTGTAGTGTCATCACTTTTTTATGCTTTCAGTAATTAATTAAATTTGCATGTAATGCCTACCAAAGCATTCATGGCAATGATATGTTAAAATACATAATATTATACTAATATAACATCGTGACGGGCCTGTTGGTTACCTATGGTACAGATTCTGCCTGGTTTTTTTTTGTTTTTAAATAAAGACAACTCCCGCATTAGTTATATATCCTGTGTCGCGGGGGAATTTACAAACATACATGAAATGGACGAGTCACACATCTCACACACGGCGGTCTGATTCCAAAAATCAGCCAGCGCTGTGTGAGATGAGATGGATTCTTGGCATTAGTTCAGGACAATTTATATTATTGTTAAGAAAATTGTATGAGATTTAAATAACAAGAAGATTGGGTCTCCGTGGGTATATCGTTAGGTGACATTAAATTAAAGTGTTTCAAGCTGTATTGTATGAAGTTAGTGTTCTGCGAAATTCTATGTTATAGGTGAGATGACTAAGGAACATTCTTTGTGTTAATTGGAAACGATTTCTCTGACATTCGTTGTGTGGAGACCAAACTTGAGAACAAAATTCGAGCATATTGCGAACCAAAGTATTAAGTAGAAGAATCTTAGTTTTTGGTAGCCTAACACTTTTAGTATATGTAAATATATTTTTTCCGTAACCAAAAATTTTAATTGGCACTCAATTTAAATAATTTTAATTAAAAACATTTCTATTGAAATAGTTATATTAGTTATAGATGCTTTAAATAGTTACACATACATAGCACACACATACATGCATACACATAGCAGAAAACATATATTAACCACAGGAGTATATTTCGAATATGCTGTAGAAAGACGAGTAAACTGAATATCGTTTATTGGTAGCCTATAAAATATCTTTGATATTCTAGTCCTGAAATTCCAGGAAATTTACACAATTTAGTCAGTTTGATTGTTCTAATAGGAATAAATGCCAGCGAATAAAACTACTTTTTTATTAAAAAGGTAAAAAACGAAAGGCCGATTAGCTTTAAAAACATATATGCGTTGATTATTATTGCTGTGGAGTTCCGAATCCTCGTTGTTGAAATCTGAAAATTAAAAGTGAATTACATATTATTATCGTCCTTATATAACAACAGTAGTGGTTTATGATGTAATGACTAGTATAGAGCTGTTTTTGCATATGAATAACCGTAATTAATTTTTAACAAACGTAGTGTGGCAAAAGACAATGAGCAGTGGTGCACCCACCAATAGAAATAAGATACTAATGAATGAACATGTATTTTTAAGAAGAATAAAACTTATTATTACGACTAAGCTTAAAAGTCAGTCCTTTCAGAGTTAGCCCATTAAAGTGATCCCAATCTAAGCAATTAATGATTGTACTTTACTTTATTATAAAACCAGTTATTGCAAGCGGCTTCGCTATCCTAATTATTTCTTATTTTAAATTTCTAACTTTGAAAATGTAGAACTTGTGTTCATCCCTTATTTATCTACTCTTTTAGGAGTGGAATTTCTAAAGATAATTTCAAAGACCAAAAAGCATCAGCTGTCAAAATTTCAAACTCAATCAAACTGTATCGTATAAAATAATAAGTTGGAAGCAACGCGATAATACAATATTATTGCTCTTACGACGAACTGTAGAAACTTGCGCTCACACCACATCTTTGATTTGATACCTAGGTGGTGCAAAGGTGGTACAAAATATATAAAGAAGTGTTAGATTAAGACGACTTTAAGACATCGTATCTCCGAAAGTACTAGCGTTAGACCATAGTTGACTAGTAAATAATGTTCCACTTAAAAAGCCCTATTGAAAGATGTACCCAAATCCCATATATTTATTTTCCACTTTCCTTGAAGGAACTTTTCATAGACAACCTTAAAATCATTTATTTCTCTAAAGACACCAAGACTAATGCTTCTTGTAAACTCCTCAGAAGGATGATCTGAATCGACTATTCCATGTTTTAATGTGCTGTAATGTTGTTACTTCCATCCTGTACGAAGTTGATTAATAATAATGAATGGTATGATATACAAAATAAAACTGGCTTTTACATACCAAGATTATCATCGTCAGCATTGCCGCCTCCGTTTTCATTAACTGTTAATATAATTTTCTGTAGGATATCGCTTACAAAAGGTGTGGTGCAGGATGCAACTCGTTGCAGCCCGGCACTCGAAGCGTTAAATATTCTATTAACATTCGCCTTTAAAATAATGTAAGTGTTACTGATTTTTTTATTATGGTTCTTTTATATCAAATTTATGTTTTTGAAATATCTGTATCACACGAACCATTCATACTTTAAGAAGCTTTCTAAAGAAATGCCACAATTGGCTGGTCAACTAGAAGTAAAATTATAAAACTAACCTTCAGTACAGGAAATTTTAGTCTGGATGCAGATGATACTTTGAATCTTGGTAAATAGATATCCACGTTTACTTTACGCAAATTGGTTAGAGCCTTTAGAACGTTTTCACCTGATGAAAGTTTTTTAACCAAACCGGGTACTCCATTGGCAAAGTGAGGTAAGAATATGACCATACTAAACTCGCTGCTTTTATAGTTAATTTTAAGGACCTGCATTAAAAAATACTATTAATAAATGGTACTTAATTAATAATTTTGTAATTACTTATTTTAAAATATCTATTAACCTTACATCCAAGTGATAAATTGTTTGTGTATAGGAATTTGCCGCTTTGGAACATTGTTTGTTTTTTAGTAATTCTGCTATTAGCGCCATGGAATTCCATTTCAGTTGTATCTTTACTGTCAAACTTATTCTGCCATTCACCCTGTAAAGTAAGTATAATAGAAATAATTATATGTAATTGATTGATAGATTTACATATAATAAATCTATAAAACTTGATATAAATCATCACCAAAGACCAGGGGTAAATAGTATCGATTGCATTAGATAATATTAAAACGTCGGGTTGGTAATATTACCAAACCTTAGTCATCGGGATCTTAATCAAATTAATAATAGACCTGTTGTGTGGGGTGATGCGCTATCTCCCCAAATTCCCCAAAATGATCCAGTTAAATTGTTTTTACGAGTCGCATTTTACTGCCAGGAAAATGTAACCTATATAGTTGGCAGTTTTTGAATAAAGACTCCAGTTATAGTTTAAAGAACAATACAATTAAAGTTGACGTGTATTTTAAGCTATACAGACTACAAGGTAATGACATAATAATCGGTAAAGGAAATCCGCCTTTACCGATTACTTGAACAAGTTGCTATTTAAATTATTAACCATTTACGAAACCGCCAAGATAATTTATTCAGTTTCCTTTATCATAATCGATGCCTTCGTTATTGGAATGTTATTTGGTTTAATTCTCTTATTCCGTGATTGCAATTTGAATTGTTTTTCGCACACTAATCACCATATACTTATATACTCACGTCTTTTATCCACGAAGGGGTAAATAGAGGCGGTCTTAAAATATTTTAGGTACTATCATACGTAAATAAGCATATTACCGTCAACACTACATATATATATGTAAATAAACACGTGTATACATAAAAAAAGAACCTATGGTTTTGTGAGTTTTACCTTTGATTGGCGACCCTTAGAGATCAAAATTCTTGTGTTTAAAATATTATTGAAAAATGCACCCCTAACGAATTATTCTGCTGTTCGAGTAGTTTTCTAACACCCGGTATATTTCTACAAACATACATATCTGTACTAATATTATAAAGCTGAAGTTATTTTGCTTGTTTGGTTGAACGCGCTAATCTCAGGAACCTGGTTGGAATTGAAAAATTACTTAAGTGTTGGACAGCCCATTTATGGAGGAAGACTATATATATGTATATATAAATTACAGCATACTACGATCAATAGGAACTGCACATCAATGAAAAATAATACAATAAAAACAGGGAAAATTTATTCCTTTTGAGAGATGCAGGCGACGTTCCACGGGTCAGCTAATCACATATCAATTACACCCAGCAACAGAACAGATGACTGTGCCCACACAACCTTTGTCCTGATAAACCAGTTGGTCTAATAGTTAGTGATTCTTTCAAATCAGACGTTGTGAGTCCGATTCTCACCAGTTGTTAATAGGTTTTAAAATATTGCAATCTGGTGATTCTGGGTTTTTTTGGTTAGTTAACACAGCATTATATGCACTATGTTTTCCATTATTCAATACAGTAAAATAGTATTTAACTGAAAAAAGTGGCTTGGATTATAAAGTTTGAATTACCTTTTCTATTTCTATATGCTTTTTCTTTGAATGTATGTACTGTATTATCTACAACATTTGTTAAAATTGAAATCTATTACATTGCCAACTACTTCAATGCCAACTACTTACACTTTTGCTTACTTTGGAGTTTGTAGAGTATTGCATATTGAGTGTTTTCATAGAAACTGGTCCAGTGTAGTCGGAGAATTACGAGTATGTCAAAAGCAGAGTAGATATATATGAGAACAAACCAGATGAAGGACTTGAAAGAACAATCTTCGTAAATTAATTGATAGAATTAAGGTTAACAATAATATAACCAATTGTGATGTATTTTGAAGTATTCACTTGTAAATGGACCTACACTCACTTACTGCTGTTACCCCAGAAGGGTAATTATCGCCAATCAGGCACTTTAAGATCGTCCGTAACATAGTCCGTGTGGTGACGGATTAAGAATACGGAATATCACCGCCCCTATTCATCCCGTGGGCGTCGTAAGAGTCGACAAAAGGAGCTAACTACACAGAACAACAGCACTGCGAAGAGAAGGAAAACTTGACACAAACCCTATACCAACCCGTCTGGACAGCGTGGTATAGTAGGCCAAAACCTCCTTTCTATGGAGACGCCAATGTCCAGCAGTGGACTATTAAAGGTTGTTGATGTGATGTTGATGATAAGGGACTTTAAGAATTAAAAGGAAAAATCTGGAGTTCAATATAAACTTCAATATTTGTAAAAAAATAATAATGAAAAAGCGGTTCTAGGAAAGGAATATTGCTTATAGGGATGGGTTGGGAAGTATAAGCGATAGTTAGAGTAGGTCAGAGTTAGAAGGAGGTAAAAGAAGAAGAGCCCGCTAACCGACTAAATATCGATTAAAATGTTACCTAAAACTTATATGTCGCCGCGGAGTTTTGGAGGCGCCGGAAATTAATTAAATTGATTATTGTTATTGATTATTTTTGATTATAAATTTCACTCTCTAAAATCTAATTAGAATTTTTAGACAAGATTGTAATTCATAATACTGTATTAACGTGAAGTTTTAATTTTGGTGAGTTAATTTGATGCAAGTCTTTGTGAGTACTTTCAATGTAAGTTGTTTTTACTATTTTAAATGTTTTGATTGCTTTAGACTATCAGAACTTATTTGTAATATTGTTTAAATAATTAAGGCTTGATTTGGAATTCTTAATATGGTTATTTGTGGTAAATTTAATATTACGAAAATACGTTAGCGCCATCTGCCTCCGTTTTGACGCGCAACTAGACGTTGCCGCCAGAGTGGCGGCAGGTGGGCTTGAAAAACATTATTGAGAGGGAGTCTGTGACGGATTTTGAGCGGGAAAACAAGTGAGTGTTGAACCTTTGTGCAATTTCTCCCCGGATTCCAAATCAAATTAGTGTCTTGCTATTATTTCGATAGTTATTGAGTTAAAGTCAATTTGTTAAGAAATAGTGTTGAAAAATAGTTATTTAAATGTTGAGTATTAACTTTCTAAGTTTTTATAGTTGAAGTAAATGAAATTGTAATAATGTTTGACTGTTGAAAAAGAAAACCTTATGAGTTTCTTGTCTGTTCTTCTCATAATGGTAATTCCTTAGCGAACAGACGTAATTTCACCTACCCCCCAAACATTACTGAAATAACTATTAAAAACAAGTCTCAACTCCTTAACTGTTTTATGTTTCATTTAATCGTTATTACCTTCTTAGCTTAAATAAAGACTGTAGAGCCTTGACCTTGATAAAGGTCAACGGTTTTACATTACTTTTAAATCGAACCCAAATTCTGTTCCGATATCAGAAGTGGGATCGCCATGCGATCCCCTTTCTGCTCTGGTCTTTCGACGATTTCAGATAATCCTGACTGAAGCATTACAGCGTGCACCATGGACGGAGCCGAGTCAGATGAGCCTCCTACGTGTCCTTCGGGACCGAGCAACCCGACTCCTAGTGAGCACACTGCAAGCCCAGTATCACAACAAATTGGTAATGTACCACCTGATTTTTTCCTACACATGATGAAAATGATGCAGACCATGACTGAACGACTCCAACAACCCAATAATAAGGTTAAAATCACAGAGGTCTTCCTACCCTCATATGATCCTGATGGTAATGTTGGTGTACGTGAGTGGTGTAATCATATTTCTACGGCAAAAGATACCTATGAGCTCAGTGACTACGACATTCGCATGAAAGTGACCAGCTTGTTGAAAGGGCGTGCTAAAATATGGGCCGATAACTGGCTTGTAACTACCTCAACGTGGGAAGAGCTACGTCAAATAATTATAACAACGTTTGAGCCCGAAACACGTTACTCACGGGATATAGTCCGTTTTAGAGAGCATACCTACGACAATTCCAAAGATATTTCGGAATTTTTGACCCAGTCGTGGATTTTATGGAGACGTGTGACTAAAGATAAGCTTGACAATAGTGATGCGGTAGAAGCGGTAATAGGAACTATTAGTGACGAGCGCCTTAGAATTGAATTAATGAATGCCAGAGCTAGTTCAGTGCCCGAACTGATCTCTGTTGCTTCCACTATTAGATCTAGCAAACGTTCTAGCCAAAACAATCTGAATCCTAATCAACCATTGCATAAACGCCCTCGATTTTCAGATAGTAATAAACCCCATGCTTCTCTTTACTGTAATCATTGTAAAAGGACTGGCCATTCTTTCAGTAATTGCCGTAACAAAAATGCTGCTAATCCGAATGTGCAAACAACCGGTGGGGTCCCTCAGTCCCACCCCTCATCAAAGCCAAATGACACGAATAATAAGTTTTGTTCATATTGTTCCAAACCAGGTCATACGTTTGACACTTGCTACCGCCGGGAAAAAGCGATAGTTCCCAACATTAATTCGGTGGCTAGCAGTCACTCTAGTTAGAATACTATGCCCATGCGTGTAGGTGACATTACGATAGATACGGTATTTGATAGTGGGGCCGAATGTTCGGTAATGCGCGAATCCATTGCAAACAAGTTGCCAGGTCGTAGAGAACAAATAGTTACTTGCGAGGTATAGGTCCATTCCCGGTGATCTCCACGTGGAGAATAAAGACCATATGCGTCATAGATAATACTAACGTAGAAATCGTGTTCAATGTTTTGCCCGATTTTGAAATGACTTCGGATGTTCTAATCGGTGCGAATTTACTACACGATACCGGTTTAAGTGTTTTAGTGACACAGAATAGCGCGAAACTAGTACCATGCCCACGTGTCATGCATGTACGAGCCGACAGCGGTATATTTGACAATATGGATCACAATCTAAAGGAACAATCCGAGGTAGATCAATTGTTCACTTTGCTTAACCAGTACTCAGATCTCTTTACGCGCGGTTTTGCTAAGTCTCGAGTCAATACAGGTCAACTAGAAATCCGTTTAAAGAATAAAGACAAATTTGTTGAGAGAAGGCCTTATAGGTTAAGTCCAGTCGAGCGTGAAAAGGTTAAGGAAATAGTCGCTGAATTAATTAAGAACGATATTGTGCGGGAAAGTAAATCTCCATATTCGAGTCCAATTATTTTAGTTAAGAAGAAAAATGGCGACGACCGAATGTGCGTCGATTATCGGGAGTTAAATAGTAACACGGTACGTGATCACTACCCCCTACCTCTAATTGCTGATCAAATCGATCAGTTGGCTGGTGGACAGTATTACACGAGTTTAGATATGGCATCCGGATTCCATCAGATTCCTATTGCCCCAGATTCAATCGAGAAAACTGCTTTTGTGACACCCGATGGTCTCTACGAATACCTAACCATGCCCTTTGGTCTCTGTAACGCGCCGTCCGTTTACCAAAGGTGCATTAATCGCGCGTTAGGTCCGCTACTGACTTCTGGCAGTGCCAATAATGGTCACAACGATAGCGTAGCCCAAGTGTACATAGATGACGTCATAAGCAAATGCCGCGACTTTTCCTCTGGTCTTTCATACTTGGAAAGAATCTTGATAGCATTGCGGCAATCTGGGTTTTCCATTAATATTGACAAATGCAGCTTTTTCAAAAAGTCTATAGAGTACATTGGTAATATAGTAGAGAATGGTCAGGTCCGTCCCAGTCCCAAAAAAGTCGAGGCCCTATTGAAGGCCCCTGCTCCCACCACTGTAAAACAAGTCCGCCAATTCAATGGCTTAGCGGGTTATTTTCGCCGCTTCATTCCCGATTTTGCACGAACAATGATTCCCCTGTACGATTTAACTAAGCAGGGCGCTGAATGGAAATGGAGTCGTGTTCATGAAGAGGCTCGTCAAAAGATAATTCGTTTCCTCACCACCGCGCCGATACTAACGATTTTCCAAGAAGAGAAACCAATAGAGTTGTTTACTGACGCCAGTAGTCTCGGATTTGGAGCAATACTCGTTCAAGTTATCAATGGTCGGCAACATGTAGTGGCATACTTTAGTATGCGTACAACTGATATCGAAAGTAGATATCATTCATACGAGCTCGAAACATTGGCCGTGGTCCGAGCAATTAAGCACTTTCGACACTTTCTTTACGGCCGAAAATTTAAAGTGGTCACTGATTGCAACGCGTTGAAGGCTTCGAAACACAAACAAGATCTGCTCCCGCGGATCCATAGGTGGTGGGCATATCTTCAGAATTTCCAATTTGACATAGAATACAGGAAGGGCGAGCGGATGCAGCATGCAGATTTCCTGAGCCGGAATCCAGAGGTACTGTCGGTCAATGTCATGACCAGCAACCTAGACTGGCTTATCGTAGAGCAGCGCCGCGACCCACAGTTGCGTCCCACTATAGACGCCTTGGGCACAGGAGAGGAAGTAACTGGTTATCATCTGGAAGGTAACATACTCAAATTTGAAAGGATCGATCCTATTCTAGGCCCACGAAGACTCGCTGTCGTGCCAAGGGCATTTCAATGGAGCCTGATTAACACTTTCCATAGTGCCCTACAACATGCAGGATGGGAGAAGACTCTGCACAAAATCAGAGAGTCTTATCATTTTGACAAGATGAACACCAGTGTCAGGGATTTTATCGACAATTGTGTGGTATGCAAAACGTCGAAACAGACATCGGGAGCTAATCAGGTCCAACTACACCCCATTCCCAAACCAACAGTACCGTTCGAAGTAATACACATGGACATTACTGGGAAACTTGGTTCTCCAAACAATCAAGAGTATGTTATAGTTACAATAGACGCATACACGAAATACGTGCTACTCCGTCACACTAATGATAAAAGTCAACACAGCTCTCTTGCCGCATTGAAACAGGTCATCCATCTTTTCGGAGCGCCGCGGCAAATCATAGTAGATGGCGGGCGCGAGTTCTTGGGTGACTATAAAAGCTACTGTGACAGGTACGGTATTGAACTTCATCCAATATCACCAGGTGTTAGCAGAGCAAACGGACAAGTCGAAAGAGTCATGGCAACTCTTAAGAACGGTCTTGTAATAATAAAAAAATTACGAATCCCCGGACTGGCATACAGCACTCGAGAGTCTGCAGCTCGCCATGAACTGTACGGTACATAGAACTACTGGGACTGCGCCATTAACACTCCTCACTCGTCGCCAGAACTGCGTGCCTGCAGAGTTGCTGAACCTAGTCGACATCGACAAAGCTCTAGTCAACGCTGAAGCTTTAGAACGACATGTGCAGCAAAGAATGCTTGCAATAGCTTTAAAGGACAAGGACAGGTTCGATAGAGGGCGTGCCAAAGTCCATAATTTTCATCGAGGCGACTTTGTCCTAATTAAAAATAACCCTAGAAATCAAACTTCTTTAGACTTGAAATTTAGCGTTCCATACGAAGTTCACAGAGTGCTCGAGAACGACCGCTACCTTGTCAAAAAGGTCGTGGGACATCAGGGTCGACCCCGCAAGGTCGCGCACGACCAACTGCGGCGCGCCCCACAACCAACTGGCACCCAGGCGGCCGTGTCGCCCCCAGACGAACACCTGGCACCAGCACCTGGAGTTGAGGCTCCATCAAGGGCTGTCACCACCCCCGTCCCCCGTCCTGTCCTGGAAGAGGACAGCGACGCCGAGTCTACATAAACCTATTTCTCCCGGTGAGGGTTTTTCAATATATTGTGCTCTTCAAGCACACACTCGCACACATATCACACACACGTGCGAATATACGCACCAAATGTACATGAATACAAACCATACCTCTATGCACACTATATCATAATTTTGACATTAGGACTTTCATGACTTTGACTTCGACTAAAAATAGTGTGTAAAAAGGACTATTGGCGTGTGGAGCCGTCCGATAAGTCCAATCCCCCGTGATGCTTTCCGCGGAGGGAATAATTTATCTTAAAATTGCTATTGGCGTGTGGAGCCGTCCAATAAGCAATACTCCTACTAAGAGTTATCATAGATCGCCTCTTTCCGTAAATTGTAATACTAGGTGTACTGTGGAAGTGCCTAGCTTCAAAAGAATTTACTTTCCTATTTTCAGAATCAAGCGATCCTGAGCACGTCTCGCCTCGCAGTATGGCCGTGTCGCCGCGGAGTTTTGGAGGCGCCGGAAATTAATTAAATTGATTATTGTTATTGATTATTTTTGATTATAAATTTCACTCTCTAAAATCTAATTAGAATTTTTAGACAAGATTGTAATTCATAATACTGTATTAACGTGAAGTTTTAATTTTGGTGAGTTAATTTGATGCAAGTCTTTGTGAGTACTTTCAATGTAAGTTGTTTTTACTATTTTAAATGTTTTGATTGCTTTAGACTATCAGAACTTATTTGTAATATTGTTTAAATAATTAAGGCTTGATTTGGAATTCTTAATATGGTTATTTGTGGTAAATTTAATATTACGAAAATACGTTAGCGCCATCTGCCTCCGTTTTGACGCGCAACTAGACGTTGCCGCCAGAGTGGCGGCAGGTGGGCTTGAAAAACATTATTGAGAGGGAGTCTGTGACGGATTTTGAGCGGGAAAACAAGTGAGTGTTGAACCTTTGTGCAATTTCTCCCCGGATTCCAAATCAAATTAGTGTCTTGCTATTATTTCGATAGTTATTGAGTTAAAGTCAATTTGTTAAGAAATAGTGTTGAAAAATAGTTATTTAAATGTTGAGTATTAACTTTCTAAGTTTTTATAGTTGAAGTAAATGAAATTGTAATAATGTTTGACTGTTGAAAAAGAAAACCTTATGAGTTTCTTGTCTGTTCTTCTCATAATGGTAATTCCTTAGCGAACAGACGTAATTTCACCTACCCCCCAAACATTACTGAAATAACTATTAAAAACAAGTCTCAACTCCTTAACTGTTTTATGTTTCATTTAATCGTTATTACCTTCTTAGCTTAAATAAAGACTGTAGAGCCTTGACCTTGATAAAGGTCAACGGTTTTACATTACTTTTTAAATCGAACCCAAATTCTGTTCCGATATATATAATAGAAAAAAGAACTTACTCCGAATGATTGAGTATCCACTAGAATTAAATTTGTCAGTGAAGATAAAACATCGGATGTTACAAAATTCTTGATATTGTTGTTGGTACGCATTGCGATCTGAATGTAATACAAAAGAAAATTCAAATTTAAATCATCCTTAAATGTTTGTCATCAGGAAAAGTTCATAAGAATAAGAAAGTTTTTATTTTCTAGTCAATTAACAAAAATCTATATAATACAAGATTACAACTAACTCACCATATCGTTAATCATTCTAGCGCTAAGAGGATTACTGAAGTCATACTGAAACGGTTCTGTATGGAACACTTTCTGGAGGCGTCTTTTGAATTTGTTGGTGAATGGGCAATTGTTGTCAGCTATAATAGTAGTTACCGCATCGTATTCAATTGTATATTGCGGTTTTGTAATGTTTTCATAAAATTTTGGTAAAAAGCAAGCCACCTGAAAAGTGAACAGGTTAAATAATATTGTTCATTATATTAAATCATTAAAGTATATCTCTAGCCTTATGTAGAGTATAGAAATATTTCAATAAAATTATGTCTATCCTTTAAAGACACAAATTTATAGACACAATAAATATTTTAAAAACTTCTTGGTAAGTCCTTTTAATTACAACATTACCCAATTCCTTTGGTAATAATATTTCTTATTGGTATTGTAATTGGTATTAATTTATAAACGATTGAAAAAAACCTTCAATCGTTTATAAGTTAATATTTAGTGTTACTCATCTACAATCCACGATAGTTTTTAGTCAGTATCTAGAGCTACGTACATCTTACAGTTTTTCTTCGAAACTCTAAAGAATCATCGTATCGTACCATTGCCCTTTGTGGTTAAAGAAACGACTGTGGCACCTATGCGTAGTATGCCATGGCTTACAATAATTCAAATTTTTAAGAGTCACCTCTTAAAAATTTTGTCAGCTATAATTTCAGTCCCGCTTAGGTAATAAGGGACGAGTCTACTGCCGTCAACCGGGACGTGTATTTTTAAATAAATATCTATGCAAAAATAGGTCCGTGTGGTTCCGAATTAAGAATATTCTTCCTGTGGGTGTCGTAAGAGCCTACTAAGAGAGAAAACTAAGCAGGACAACAATACTGCAAAGAGAACTTGAAACAAACCCTATACAAACTCGCTTAGTGGACTATTAAGGGCTGATGATGAACTATTATAGATAAAAAAACATCTGTTTATCCAAAATTAGAACTTACACTAGAATATCGAGAGTATATAAAGGAAGAATATATAGAGTAGTTATATAAAGGATCTCTAACCTGCTCGTTATTTAGGTCCAAGGCTTTTTGTATTTGCTTTGCGGCACCTTTAAGCGCAAAAAGCTGCAATTGTCCTAACAAATATAATATCGATGATCCCCCAACTACCAAATTGCTTCCATAGTTTTCTCGGGTTATTTCCTGTATTAAAAATATAAGAAAACTTTATTCCATATGCTTCAAATAACTATGAATTTAAAATAATCAGTAAATAATTAATTCTAAATTTGGAAAATTACGAACTTGAAGAATCTTGGCTGTGAATGCTAGGTCAGCTTTTAGATATAATTCAAGGGATTCTGTCTCGCACGTATCTTGTATCATTGAATCTAATGCTGGCGTTGAACGATTCGCAGATTTTTTGCCTAAAAATAAGGAAGTAAGAGTTTATAATTAAAAAGAAATGACTGCGTGTGTATTTCGTTTATTTTTTTAATGTTAATAACACAATAGCGCACAAAAATATAGTAATATAACATAATGTATTAATAATTATTGTTAAAACTGTTTTGTTGTTGTTGTTGAGTGAGTTGAAATGGCGGTTTTAGACATGCAGCACGCCGTATTTATTTGTTTTTCATTAAACAAAGTAATCTATTTTATAGTTTCTAATTCTCTGTTATCTAAGTTATTAGAAACGGGATATTTATCATTTTCATTTTCAGGTATTAGTTTCCGATATTTCGGAACTGTTGCAAGTGCCATGATCATGGATGAAAAAATAATAAAAACAATTATTGACAATAAACTTGATAAATATCTCGTTTCTAAAGACTTATCATGTGGAGATGACCACTATTATCAAGGAATCTATTGTTTAGTTTACTAGTGTAAGACATTTATATTTTGAAATAAGGCAATTTACGATTTTTAAGGTATTTTTGGTAAATTTTATGAGAAAAAGAAATTGACTTTTAATTTTGTAATCTTTTAAGTAAAATACAAATGAATATAACTACACTACCATTTAATTTACTTTAAAAAATATTTAATACCGTATTACAGTGTAAATATTTTCACCAATGTTAAACCAACTTGGCAAAGAAAATTAAACTCTTTTTATTTATGGTTCTGTAGATGATTAGAGATTAATGACCCTTGATGATTGTATTAATGTTAACATGTTCTAAAAAAAAATCTTCATTACATTTTCGTTTTCGTAACAAAATGATGAGTAGCACATAAAATAATACTAAATTAAAATTGGGCAACGTGATAAGAAAGTAACAAATGAAAATCAATCAAATCATATCATTTATTTAAATTAAACCAATATTCTAAGATATATTTATCTAATTCACGAAGTTGTTCCGTAAAACCCCCTCATGATACAAGTTGCCTGTTCCAATATCAAGGTTACATTTTGAAGACAGTAAGCGGAAAAGTTGTATCTTAGAAATTGACCAGTATTTAACTTACTTGTATGTCCGAAAAAAGCCTTATCAAAGCCTTGTCTTGTCTTTCCATGATAAAGCATTGACTTTTTTATATTTTTTGTAATACTTTACCTACGAGTTATGAACTTTTCAAATAGTTTTTGGTTTCCGATATGAAGTAAATTATTGTGATATCTAAAGATTTTTCTAAAGCGCATGCAACCTCAGAGTTTTTAAATATCTTTAAATAAATATTCCGTAAAATATAGTTATTTAAAGTAACAAAATTAAAAGGTATATCCTATTATCAAACAAAAAGATCAAAAGTCAGCAGAACTGGGGCTCGAGCCGTCACCAGTTGTGATCAGTGATAGATCACACAATGGAAGCGAGATAATCGTACTATTCTGCTCCGGTTCTAATGACTATTGTGATGAATTTAGCATCGCTTTCAATACGAAGAGAGGTATAAGCAGGTGTTAACTAGTGTTGTGCACTCACATAAATAACCAACATCATACTTTCGCATACGACTGTATTATCTGGCTATACGAGTATTGTGTCTGTGCATTGAAACATCATAAATATATACCTACATACAAATACATATATATACTAAGAGCCTAATTATAGTTGAAAAAAATTAATCCTTAATTCTATTCTTGAACACACTCAGAGAAGGGAAATATAAGTATTCTATCGGTCACTCTAGCTTTCATAGTACAAGCTTTGCTTAGTTTGAAACTAGATGGCGTTGTGTGTCAGCTGTCCGATTTTTTTTTTTTTAACTTGCAACTAGTATTCTTGTTATAACCTCCAAATAACAGGCTTATTATACACAAATACTAAATTTTAAATTTCTGGCAAATCTTTGATACTAGCAATGTAGTCTACATTGCCAGTACTTTAATACGGATACAAATGGATTTATTGTTTAGGTTTTAGCAAACATCGCAAGTCTTCTTTTATTAGTTTTAGTCATCCATGTTACCTTAGGCAACAAGGATACAAGTTGTGGTCGAATATTAAAATGCCTGACGATAATTGTGAAGATTTAGAGTAGTCAATAATTATGTGAAATGTTTAAAGCAATTGAAAGACAAAAACACCTTTACTATGCGTATAGCGTCAATTATCTTAACTGTTACAAATTTGATATTGTTTAGGCCTCGTTTTCACTAGGGAACGTTTATCCGAGGAACTTGTCTTCAGGCTCAAAATATACGCACCGTGTGACATGACAATGGTTGTCACCCAACGTTGCCTGCAACGTCTTCGGGTCGCAGGAAATGTTAAAACTCAATCATTTGCGTCGACACGCGTGACTTATACAATGTCCCGAGACTGCTTTTGATTAATGAAGACACGCTTATTGCTTTTTGTTTCGCGAAACACAGCTGTAACTCTTCGGGCGACATTTCAATGACAACTGAGTAGTGTGGATAGGGCAAATGTTGAGCAGTAGCGTCTAACAAAATGGGAGAGTGAAAGTTTATTTACCTCCACTACATGTCCTCTAGTAAATTAATGGCTTCCACGTTGGTTGAAAGATTATTTATTATACACAAAATTATTATTTATACACAAAAATCAAAATGACGAAAACTACTTATAATTGCAATTTTTATACTTTTACATATCTTTACATCAATAATTGCTATACTCGTTAGCATATATTGATTAAAAGACATGTAAAAGTATAAAAATTGTTTATATATAGTACGCTACGTATGTAAACTATGTTTATACATAGTTTATATACGTAGCAGTATTATTTTAAAAGTTTTTTAAGTAAAAAAAATAAACAGAGAAAAAAAAATTAACAATATGTTTAAAAAAATAAAGCTTAACCCTTCTCATCAAATTTTTCGGGCCTTTTGCATTTCTTGATTTTAGAATTGAATACGTATCGTTCTCTACACTCGCAGCTGTTTTTTTTGGACATGTACACTTACTGGATTTAGTACCAGGGTAACGTTTTAAACACTTCTTATTACAACCAGGCATTATGTTTGGATCTCCTTTACACGATGTTGTCGAATTCTTTGACATCTTATCACCTGAAATTTTAGTATTTTCATGAGAATCCTGGACTTGATCTGAATCTGATATTTCTGAAGAGACAAACATTGTGAAATTGTATGTACGCGGTAATCTGGCACTACTGATCCAATTTTGAAATTTCTTTCATTGATAAAAAAGGTAAATTATCCCTGAGTACTAGAGATTACTTTGTAGCGCGATATTTTGTGATAATGTAAGTAACATATGACGAAATTGATGTACGGTAAAACTCGAAGGAGTTTATGTTGCATCTCTATGATTTGTATGTACCTACATGATTTGTATTTGTATCAGCTATTCAAATAAATAAAATAAAATAAAATATCCGACAAACATGCAGGCGGAGGGCAAAAGCTAGTTACTAATATATTTGTTACTAAAATTAAAGGTGAGTAATTAAAAGTAGAAACACTCTTACCACATTCATCTGACTTTGTACATTTAAAGGTGTTAGGGTTATACACGTAACCTTCTTTACACTCGCAGCTATCTGTTGGACATGTACACTTATTGGGTTTATTACCGGGACAACGTTTTATACACCTCTTGTCACAACCAGGCATGGCGTTTGGATCTTCTTTACACGATGTTGTCGATTCATCTTTTGAAATCTTATCACCTGAAATTTTAGTATTTTCATAAGAATCCTGCGCCTATCTGAATTTGATTTCGCGGAAGAGGCAAACTTTGTGAGTTTGTATCTTCTCGTTAATTTCTGATACTACTGATCCGATTTTGAAATTTATTTAATGGCTGAAAAGATATATTATTCATGAATACTAAAGACTACTTCGTAACGCGATAACCGACGAACATGCGGGCTGAGGGCAAAGGCTAGTTATTTATATATTTGTTAATAAAATTAAAAGTGAGTAATTGAAATTAGAAACACTCTTACCACATTCATCTGACTTTGTACATTTAAAGGTGTTAGGGTTATACACGTAACCTTCTTTACACTCGCAGCTATCTGTTGGACATGTACACTTATTGGGTTTATTACCGGGACAACGTTTTATACACGTCTTGTCACAACCAGGCGTCGCGTTTGGATCTCCTTTACACGATGTTGTCGAATTATTTGACCTCTTATCACCTGAAATTTTAGTATTTTCATTAGAATCCTGGCCTTGACCTGAATCTGATATCGTTGAAGAAGCAAAGTTTTTGAGTTTTTATATTGAATTGAAATGAAATTTGGTGTGAAGACGGTTTGAGTTGTGGGGAAGATATAGAATGGTTCTTATCCCCGAAATCATCCCTTATAGGTGTAAATAAGGGTGGAAATTTGTAAAGGGAATCTATAAAAATGGACTTTAAGAGTTTTTTCATTTAACTTTTCGTTAGACATAAATAAACGTTATGCATTTTTCAAAAAATAGTCATCCCTTTAGGAGTGAATAGAGGGTAAGAAGTTTGTATAGGGTATCTTAAAAATCAGTAAAATTGCTAAAAATGAAACCTAGGTAAATCGGTTGAGATATGGGGAAATATAAAGAATGGTTCTTACCCCCGAATACTAAATTTCATGAAAATCGTTGAAGCAGTTTCCGTGATTCAGATTATATATATACACACACGAATTACTCGTTTAAAGGTATTAGATTTAATATCTATTCAAACTGATTACTACTACATACAAGCACATTTTGATGCCGAGCATAGGCCAAAGTGCAAATGAATTGACAATTGCGATCTCATAATAAGTAATAACTGTACCCAGAGCAGAGGTATATCTGGGGTTCAATACATATTGGCCCTTATGGACCCACGGCAAGCCAAGTACACAGGGCAATGGTATACATATAGTGCATGATGTTTTGAATGCCTATCGGCGGAACATAAACTTTACCTGCTATTTTATGTGAATTCCATCATACTATTAACCAATGAAACGGATAAAAAGAACACTCAGATTTAAAACAAGATTTTGTGGATTACACGAAATGTATCCGTGTTGTGACGGATTAAGAATACAGAGTGTCACTACCCCTATTCATGTCATGGGTATCGTAAGTGTCGACTAAGGGAACAAACTACGTAGGATAACAGCCCTGCAAAAAAAAAGAAAAGGAATACTTGAAATAAACCCTATACCAACCCGTCTGGCCAGCGTGCTATAGTAGGCCAAAACCTAATCCTATATCCTGCAGTGGACTATTAAAGGCTGTTGATGTTTCATTTTGTACGTAACTTAGGGTATGGATCTGTCTGGTTAATGTGATAGGAAGCAGTTTCATACATGAAAAACAATGGACATGAACAACAATGATTTGCTTTAATGTCACACTTTTCTTTATTCTGGAAACAGCTATTTGCTGAACAATATTATTATTTTTACTGTTCGATTTCTTTTGGTGCGTAGGCTGGCAGCGTCGAGATTAGTGGAGATGTATGTTTTGGCAATATGGCAGAATTAGTGCTGAATGTGATAAGTACCTACTGGTTACCGCTTTCTATTAGGAAGATAACGTGCTTATTCACCGTTGTAGTTGTTTAAAAATATATTTTTATATATAGTAATAAAAAATATATTTTAAAATTAAAAACTCACTGTAGATTTGTTTTTCTATTATCTTAGCGATGACATGAGATGGCCCAATTTTATTCGTAATATCTCCTGAAATAAATAATTATAGTACTATAGAAATAAGTTAATATGTAACATTATGACGTTTCTTTTAGAAAAAAGGCTAATTCGACAAAAAGTATAAGAAAAATACACTAATTTAGAAAGGTGACATGATTTAACAGCCTGACAACTGTTTATGTTTTATTAAAAAAAAAAACCTTTTTTTTTGTCTGTGCGGCAATCCCCTCGGATACCACCCACCGGTGGTTATGTCGGACATGACCGTCTCGGGCACCAGTAACCGGGGAACCAGGTATACCCTAGGACGGAAATCCCTGGAACTCCAACGGACTCTAGGCCATCTACGGGCTGTAGATGACCCCCTCGTGTGTCATTACGGTGTTCCCATTGTACAACCTAAGGGGCGCGCGAGCTCCATAGCACATCATGCCACCACTTGGCCTGCTTCTGCTAGGGTGGCCTCACCTGTCACTCCCAGTGTCAGGATCACGCTCCAGTGTCTCCAGTAAGTCACGGAGGGCCTCACTCTTGGCACGGTTTATCGGTCCACTCTTGGCCTGCACGGCACCCCGCCGCAAACCCCGGTGGGTGACGGCCCGAGGGGGTTTCCACACGTAAATAAAAATTCCCCCTTGCAACCCTGTATTCCGCTAACAGCTCCGCCTCTCGGGCTGCCGCATCTTCGGGGCGGCGACGCTTTCTGCGGAGCATGAACCACTGGCGGCGTGCGGTCACGCAGGCTTGACGTAGCCGTGCGATCTCCGGAGACCACCTGTAGACCCGGCGCCTCGCTCGCTCGTTCTGAACACTAGGCATCGCCGTTCAGGCGGAGAGGCGGAGACGTTAAACCGAATATATCGATGATCCGAACCCGTCTCCTCCCCCACAACGACGCACCAGCCTTGGACACGACGCGCTAGCTAGGGACACGCGAACGAGATATCCACGATCGAACTGCCCTTCGTCATCACATTCGTAATTACGTATTTCAAATAAACAAATAATTCAGTGTATTTTTCGCATTTTACTGTTTTAGGCAGGGCGTTGTTGCTTGATTTTTTTTTGAAGTCAGTTAATTTATTTATTGTAAAATTGCTTTTTTTTTCATTTTTAGTTAATTAATCAATCATGAGATACGTGGTAAGTTGAACTACTTCATATAAGTCGCGAGAGGTAGCAACCTACGGAAAACGACCACCTTCAAATGTTATTCCTGCCGATGCGAATAACTGTGGTGGTTTGATGCTCGTATTAAATCTGGGCATAGAACTAAGTTATGTTGAAACTCGACATTTCTGTTACTAAAGGCCTAAGGGTGTAACGGGACAATGGAGGTCTTGTTCCAGTTTAAAGGGCCTGCCCTTTGCCGTGATCAAATAGACTTAGGTGAGTTACCCGAACCAGTTTCTATAAAAATGCTAGTTATACCCTGCCATGCTTCGCACTTTTTTTTTTTTTTTTTTTTAAATTAATTCCGGACAATGAAAAGACATGACACACTGTTGTTTCAAAAATATTTAAGAACCATCGTGCCAAAGTTTGAGCTCAATCGGTCTAGATTTTTTTGAGTTTTTGAAGTGTACAGAAACCAACTTAACATTTTTAAATACAAATAAGACACTGAGAGATAAGTTGCCATAGCGCCTGTGTTTAAAACCTTATCAGGCAACTAAAAGTTACGGGGTTATTGAACGAAGAACGCTACCGCTAATTCTCAGTTAGGTGGTTACGGTGCATAAACTCTAAGCCGCTTCCAATAAAATGTTTATATTGCGCTAAGTCGCGAAAAGATGGCGTAATGATGTTGCTATTTGCGACTTAGAGCCAACAAAGCCAAAAAGAGCGATGCGGGAAATGCAATTGTAAATATTAAAATTAGAACGCTAAGGCAAGCTAGGTTTGTAGTGTATTTGTCTAACGAAGGTGTGAATCATCCTCTTTACAGTCCAGACCTGGCTCTTTGTCACTTTTATTGATTGCCAATAATAAAAGATTAGAGGGATTAATTTTACGGTAGCAGTAGGTTTATTGATGTTCATCTGGTCAACCGTTACTAAAAGAACTATTGTAGTGAATACAATTCTCATTTTACGCCCATGTGACGGTGGCGAAACGGCCAGTCCACATCTTGTGTGAGTTAGAAGTTTGGCTCTACATGAGATCTGATAACTTTTTGATAGTGTGACCCACATAGTCTCATCTTGGAAACATTTTACATGAAAATGTTTTTGGTGGGACTCGGTTTTGAGATATAAAATAATTATGAGTTATTTTATTTGTTAAAAAATAAATTTTAGAAAATATTTACCAGCATTGTAGTATTAGAATATGATACTTTGTTATGCGTAGTCCTTATTAACAAATTTTAATCAATTATATTTGTATTTAGCTGTCCCCACACAAGTAATTCTGTTCGAATTTCAATTAATGTATTTGCCTCTTAAAAAACACTTGCGATTTTCCAAAATTTTCTCATCCCTGGTGACCTCTAATTGATTTTTTGTTTAACCTTCCTTTTACGTTTAAAAGCAAGCAAAAAAAAAAAACGTTCTCGTCGTTCTAAAGTGATACGTTTAAAAATAGATTTTGAGTTTCATTTTTATACTTTCCCCGAATGGCATTGTTGTACAAGTAAATAGATAACACGATGCTTATAATGCCAAAATAAATTATGTACCCACTCTATGTCAGGTTAGTTTGCATACTGTATTATTTATATATGTAATACAGTATGCAAACTAAATAATACTACTGTATTATGTATATATTAAAAACTTACCTCCTGCTTGGTATCTGGCACTGACAGCATCTACAAGAGTTTTCATTATAGTGTTTTTGTCTTTGATTCTGCCTAAAAAGCAATGGTGTTGATTATTTATTACTCATTGTAAATGTTAAATTTGAATGCTCTTTACATTCTATATGCATTAAATGTATTAAACCAAAGCCTTTGAAAATGGTAAAAGTAAAAAAAAAATATTAGGATGAAACCCATTGGAAAAGGAAAAGAATATGAAAAAAATAAAAGGGAAAATAATTTACGGGCGATCTGAGGTCGGGAAGTGAAAAGGGGTGAATTTTTAAGGGTAAAAAACGGTTTATCTCCATTTGCGGCAAAACTACAATTTCTATGAGAAACTTTTACGTTTTTCGAGTAATTAAAATGTAAATTTGTACAAAATCGTACATAATAATTATAAAAAAATCGGATTCGAGTTTTTTCGTTTTACACCATCAGAAAGTAGATTTTTTTGAGAGAGATTGACTTTTTAAAAAAAGCTGATATTTTGACGGGAGAATTTTCGATTGAAAAATTAGGTCCTTTTTCAATATTAAGTCAAAATAAGGTGGAAAAAATCATATTTTAAATCATAAAAATTACAGTGTTTGGGACATAAAAAGGTAAGTTTTCCAAACCAAATTTCCTGAATAAAGAAATGTTTTTGTAAAAGATAAAAATAAAAAAAAAACCAAAACTTGGTTATTTGAATTTTCACATAAATTTTGAGGTTATGTAAAAATGTCTAAACGCAAAAATTTTAGATCTTACAACTATGCCATTTCACTTTTTTTCCACAGGTCTTGTACTTTTGCCAGAAATCGAGATAAGCCGTTTTTTACCGTTAAAAACTCACCACCTTCCACTACCCGACCTCAGATAGCCAGTAAATTATTTTTCCTTTCATTTTTGTTATATTCTCTTCCTTTTCCAATGGGTTTCATCCTACTATTTTTTTTTTGGTTTCAAAAATTGTTGACCCTGATCTGTTAGTACATCCCGAATTTTAACATTTAAAAGTTTTATGTATCCTTAAAATATTTTAAATATCCTTTGGCAACAGCAACATATTTGGAAGCTTTACACACTTGTCCACTTAAATGACTAAAAATTGCCGATATTCCACAAAAACTAATTGTTTGATCAATATTGTGAACAAAAATGAACACTATTTTATTTTCGTACCGTGCGGACTGCTAAATAAATTAGCCATTACAGTAAACGTTAGTAGTGACTTATACATTTTCTTCACTTACAGGAGTTTCATCGGTCAGTGTTTTCTTTTATACTAACATTAAATTATGGATACTAATCTAATTGAGGTTTAATTACTTCCACTTTAGTGTCAATAAACATTATATAATCATTAAATTACTAGAACTCTTTAATGCGAACTGAATTAGGTTTTCATCAACTATTAAGGTAGTTTAATGAGTTCCCAAAAAAAATAGGTAAAAGTGACAACCAACGTCTATTATTTTTCTAAAAAGAAATGGTTCAAATTTCAGAAGAATAAGAGATGTCTTTGAAGATATTCTTATTATTATACTATACAAAAATGTTAAATGTTTTAAGTAATCTGTAAACTATTTATTATTGAAACTTCATAGTTCATTATAATCACCATGGTTGTCATAAGAATCATCACCGTTTTAGAAAATTTGCGCATTCAACCAAAAATTTACCTGATAAATGTTTTAAATACATGTACTTTTAGTTCTTTTATACTATGGCATATTTAAACTTACCTCTCTGCGATGTCTTAGTTTGTTATAAGAAGTATAAAATATAAATAATAGGTTTTCGCCACTATGGGTAGGATCAACTGTTGCCGTGAATGTATGTAACCCCCATTTAATACATTAGTAACAGTGTATTTTTTCATCATTTATTCATAAGAAATGACATAATTATATATTACATACCTAAGTTACTCCGCTACTCCGCTTGTTGACGAGATACACTTTTTTTTTTCTTCACACAATAGACCTATGATACTTAAAAGGGTATTGAAGAGTATGATTTAGGTACGAGCGTCTGATACCGATGGCCAGGTAGGAAAGGAACCTGGTAAAAAGGAATGCACCTATATTCCTACCTTTTTTTTTTTTTTTTTTACGTGGCGAAATCCCCTCGGACCGTCACCCCGCCGGGGCTCTCGTTCGGCGGGGCGGTGTGTCGGACTCGAACCGACTAAAACCACACGGTGTGCCCTCTTTGCGCTTCCAGTTTAGGAGGGGTCCAGGTAGTTATCGCCTTCTGGACCCCTCCCAGCGCCGGCCCGCTCCTGGTGCGGGCTCCGTCTCCAGGACCTCTCTTTTTAGGCGACGTCTGGCACACGCGGACGCCGCCCCCTCGCGGCTGGCCAAACTAATGCGGGTGGAGGGGAGAACCCATCCCGTCCACCCGCGGCCACACTCAGGGCGGCATCTCTGGTAAGCGCGCCTCCGCCGCCCGGTTCGCCGGCGGCGGATCGGGTCCGAGTGGAAGTCGTCCTCCCGGGCCTTCTCCGCCGCCTCCTTCTGCGAGATTACCTCCTCCGGTTGCGACCGCGGTAAAACAACTGTCGCTACCGGCCATGGAGCGAATTACGGCCGGTAGCGAGAGATCTGCTCCGATGACTGCAGTGAGGGCCCGGCGCTGCGTCGCGCATGAGCGGCTTCGCGCCACTCGCGCACGTCTTCGGGCGGAGGGCGAAATCCGCTCTCCGCCCGGAAGTCAGCCACTCGCCGATAAACTTCGGCGAGCACTTCCGCCTCCAAATCCCACGGGGGTGTTCCGGCCAAGGCGCAAGCCGCCTCGGTGGACACCGTGCGGTATCCGCGTATGGCTCTGACCGCTAATATCCTCTGGGGGCGCCAGAGGCGCGCCCTATTCGCGGCGGTCAGAGCCGCCACCCACACCGGTGCACCATAAAGCGCCATGGACCGGACAACCCCCGCGTACAGCCGCCTCGTGGGAACACTGGCCCCGCCCAAATTGGGCAAAAGTTGCCCTAGGGCGGAGGCAGTGTCCACCAGCTTCGGACCAAGCTGTCGAAAGTGCTCGTCGAAGAGCCACCTACCGTCTAGGACCAGACCCAGGTACCTCATCTGGGCCCGGACCGGTACGAAGACCGAGAATGAAATGACATGAAATAATAGGGCCTCCGTCTTATCCAGGGCCACCCGTAATCCCAACGCCTCAATACCTATATTCCTACCTTTTTTTTTTTTTTTTTTTAGTTAACGGGGGGAGATCCTCATGGATGTCCTCCGCCCAGGGGAAAGGGCGGAGGGGTCTGTCAGACTCCTACTGACTAAAACCTCCCGGTGTTCCGTCTCTCACCTACGCCGGGGATCGCGGGAACTGAGGTGACTTCCGCAATCCCCGACTGGTGCCGGCCCGCCGCTGCGGGCCACATCGCGTCAGCGAGTGTGAGTGTGTGAGTGGAGGGCAGCATATGCCCTCCTCCGATGCCCGGTGCGCCTGCTGCGGATCGGGAGAGAGGTCAGGATCTTCCTCTCCCTCTCCGCAGCCTCCTTCTGCGAGATAACCGTTTCGCAGAAGGACGCCACCGCGTCCCAGGACTCCTCGCTGTCGACCATAGAACGAACTACGGCTGGCAGCGAGAGGTCACTGCCTACTACAGATATGAGGGCACGGCGCGGCTCCTCCCAGGCGGCACACTCTGCCAGCGTATGCCGCGCCGTGTCCTCCCGACAGTCGACGCAGTGGTGACACCGAGCGTCCGGCTCCCTGCCTAAGCGACACAGGAACCTCCCGAAGCAGCCATGCCCAGAGAGGACCTGCGTCACACGGAACGACAGGGAGCCGTGCCTTCTGTCGAGCCAGAGGTCGAGCACTGGCCGGATGGCCTCGATAGTAACGAGGCCGGCGGAAGGGCGTGACAGCCTGTCCCGCCATTCCACCACCAGGACCTCGCGCAGCTGTGACCGACGCAGCTCGATGTCTCGCTGCGCCAGTCCCTCACCGCGAGCCCGCGCGTCCTCACGCCACCGATGCAGTGACGCGAGGACTTTTGCCTCCAGGTCCCAGGGCGGAGATCCGGCCAGTACGCAAGCCGCCTCGTGGGAGATCGTGCGATAACCCCTAACGACTCTGACGGCCATCACCCTCTGCGGCTTCCGCAGAACTGTGATAGCGCCGGCCGTCAGGTCAGCCGCCCAGATCGGGGCCCCATGTAGGGCCATCGATCGCACGATCCCCTCGTACAGCCGCCTGCAGGCGGCTCTCGGGTCCAACTTATTGGGAAGCAGCGTTGACAGCGCCCCAGCCGCGCCCAACAACTTGGGCGCCAGCCGCCGGAAGTGGGGGCCAGGATCCCACCGGCTGTCGAGCCGAGCCTAGATATTTTAGGGTGGACTCGACAGCGATTCGAGCCCCCCCAACCACCATGTGCAATCCCGGCGGCGGCGCCCGTCGGGGGCCATGAAAAGCTATGGCCTCCGACTTGTTGAGTGGCCAGGCCAAGGCGCCGTATGCGGCTCACCACTTGTGAGACCGCCGCCGTCGCTAGCAACGCTGCCTCCCTGTACGAGCTCCCCCGGGCAGTGACCAGCGTGTCGTCAGCGTAACACGTCAGGTCCACTCCCGGTTGGAGCTCGCCCCTCAGCACCCAGTCGTAACCGATGTTCCACAGGAGCGGGCCTAGGACTGACCCCTACGGAACACCGCACGACATTAGGCGCTGGTGTTTGCCATCACGTCCCAGATAGGTGACACACCTCTCTGATAGATACGCCCCAACGATGCGGCGGAGGTGGGGAGGCACTTGATGGTAGCTCAGTGCCTCCCGAATACAACTCCAGGGCAGGGTGTTGAAGGCGTTGGAGATGTCCAAGGACACCGCCAACATCACCCCGCCGCGGGACACCGCTTCCTCCGCCAGGACTCTCACTCGCGAAATCGCCGTAATAGTCGAGCGCCCATGCCGAAACCCGAACTGGCACTCGGCCAGGTCCGGCCCCTCCTCACACAAGTGGCGGACGAGGCGGGCTGCAACTATCCGCTCGAACAGCTTTCCCACCTCGTCCAGCAGCACTATGGGCCGGTACGCGGACGGCGAGTCCGCAGGGCGCCCCACCTTTCTGAGCAGGACCAGACGACCCGTTTTCCACTGAACGGGAAACTGGCCTCGCTCCAGGCACGCTGAGTAGAGTCCTATCAATTGGGGCTCCAGCTCCTTCAGAGCCAGGGCCAACACGCAGCCGTGAATGCCATCGGGCCCCGGGGCAGTATTCTTCGCCCGGAGCCGTATCACGGCCGCCCCCAACTCTGATTGTGTCACCTCTGGGACGTTGGCGTCCTCTTCTTCAGACTCCGCGGCTGTGGGCAGAGCCATAGGCGGCGGAGTGTGCTCCGCTTGAGCCGGGAAGAGGGCTGCGACTACGTCCTCCAGCAGCTCGGGTTGGAGACTCTCCGTAATTGGCGGCGCCCATGGGCCGAGTTTCCCTCGGACCGAGCGATATGGACGCCCCCACGGATCCCCGTTTAGAGTCTCCAACATCTCCTCCCTAGCTCGCGTCTTCGCCTCGCCGATGGCCAGCCGCAGAGCCTCCTTAGCCGCGCGGTACACCTCATACAGCGCGGCTTCTTCATCAGGAACCCGACGACGTCTTCTCCGGTATCGGGTGTACTGGCGCCTGACTCGAACGCACGAGACCTATATTCCTACCTGGGCTAACCATACCGTGTGTGTGTCATTTATGTTGCGTCTTTTTTTAACAAGGTATGATTACAAACGTATAATATAAATTTACTAAACAAGAATATTGAAATTTTTATTCATAGCTTATTATCATTTTTACCAATGATACTACATTTTTTGTACTTTTTTAGTTCAGATACTCAAAAAATGATTTCACTTAATTGAAAGCATTATATTTTAATATTTTCTATATTTTTTAAGTAAACATCAACCTTTACTAATTTAGCCTTTACTACCTCAAGTCATATGAAATATTCAATAAGGAATCTGAAAGGACAATGTTATTCATTAAAAATATAATGGACTAAATGATAAAAAAGAGTAAGGTAACAGACGGCTGGACGGCTGGTGGAAGTCGCCACATGCTTGTCGCTCTCTCCGTCGAATGCCTTACCTATGAGAACCTTTAATCCTTGCACAATGATAAATGTAAGTAACTTAATTAAATGTAACTTTTAATTGGTTTGATAATCAATGTTTGTTTCTTTAAATTTAGCACATAACATGATACACTTAAATAGTGGTATATCCAT